CTTCAAGCCCGCGTTGTGTAGCTTTCTAACGGCTCAAGAGGCTCAAACCAGTGAACTTTGAGATGGCATCAGCAGGCTCATGGCTGGAGAGGGAAGAGCAGTCATCCACAGAGGCGTGCCCGGGAGAGTTTGCAATCCTGACTTCGATGTGGTTCATTGTCACCGATGAGAAGAAGTGGAAGTGGACTGAGCCCGACATCACCACCAAGAATGGCTTGCACTACGTCAAGATCAGCAAGTGGGACCGCAACTTCGTCCGCTTTGCGACAGGGAAGCCGTTGGACCTTCGAGATTGCCGAAGCTCGGGCGCAAACGCAAAAGTGCTCGATGATATTGCGACCAGACGAAACACGGCCTCTAGGCAGGCAGTTGAAAAAGAACTTGCCTTGCTAGCCGATGCGGGCAGCGAGGGTGAGGTGCAGAAGCTTAAGAGGAAAGTCCGGGTAGAAGACGGGGATCTTCTCCCTAACCCCTTCGTCACCGTGGAGTTTCCGGAGTTTGAGCACAACGGCCAGGTCTATGGCCCCCTTCTGCCAAAGCTGTTGTGGGCGATCTCAGGCTCTTCGTTCTACATCGAGGCCATTGAGCCGAACCTCTTGTACCTCAAGCACGCTGTGCAGTTGGGCCTGGAGAGCGGCCAGCTTGGTCGGAGCCGAGCCTCCCCAAAGTCTTCTCCAAAGAAGAAAGGCCGAAAGCCAAAGGGTTCGCCAAAGAAGGCCACGCCCAAAAAATCGCCAAAGAAGGTGAAGAAGTGATGGCTCCGTGACCTATAGTCACCTAGTGATGCCGTATTCTTCGTAATTGCCAGCTTAGCTCTGTAGAGGTTTTGGATCTCCTGGTTTTCCACACTCAGATTCTTCGAAGCTAAAGGAAAATGTCAATTCCAACTTGTCTCTGACTCTCGCGTGATCGACCTCCCAGAGATGAGCGGACACAAACGATATTTACAACATACAATATACAATAGTATATACCATATAAACGATATACAACAATATATATATATATGTATACACACTACATACTATATACATACAAATTCATATGTATTTACCCTAGAAGTTCGAAGACTTTTCGTGGGACCACTGAAGTAAAGAACTTCCTACTTGGATCACCCACCTTTGCCAACATGGTCTTGGACTTACAAGGTGAAGAGAACCCACAAGCTATGGTGGTCTTTTGCGCGTTGTGCGCATTCGTTGTAGGGGAGCATGTGGGCAATGAGAACCCGAAAGATGTTGTGAACTTTTGCGAACTGTGTGCATTCGTCGTACATGTCTGGGTTTTCTATGGTTTTGATCTATTTAGCATAGGGCGAGCCGTTTTGAACCCTGCCCGCGAGCCCTGGGGCTCTGCAACTTGTTGGAACTTCTCGGAATCAAAAAAGAAACCTGTTTGGAAGGAATTACCAATATGGCAAAGTGCCGTGAGCAGTTGGACATGTTAATTTCAAGCACATGTTAATTTTCAAGAGTTTTTCGCATTTTTGAGTCATAGCCACAGGAGATGATTGCGTGTTCGACCGCTGGCTCTCAGAGTTTTTTTGTTTTGGCAGAGCAAAACGCGAAGTTCACGATCCAGCGCCGTCGACATGGCGGATGCTAGCAATTCTTCGGCAGCTGAAGGCGTTGACCTTCCAGTCTCTGCAGAGGCTTGGTTTGACGGGCCTGTGTTTGCCGAGGAGTTGAATAAGACTGCACATGTTGTATAAATAGATACACATATAAGAGCATATACAACACAAATAGATACATGTAAGAGTACAAGAGTGACTTGAAAAACAAGCACGCGTCATCATGGGTCGAGCCAGTGCTCCATGGAGATCAGAGGTCAAATGGTCATTCGTTTCGATTCAACATGGGACTTATATAGGGGTTTGCGTGCATGGTTCACCTCACTTGTGAAGGCCTTGGAGACGCTGCCTGATGATGAGCTGGCGGGGCTTCTTCGGCAGCGGGTGCCGCTGGCAGCTGCTGAGGACGCCCAGGAAGATGAGTTCGTTTCAGTGAAGGTGGAGCAGGAAGATGGGGAGGAAGAAGGGTGGTGGGAGTATGAGCAAGAATGGTCAAATGAGACAGATCCGACACCAGCCCCATGCCCGACCTGGCAACCACCTTCGCCTCCAGGTCCACCGCCACCTCCTCCACCGACTAACTATGGAACATGGCAAGGCCAATGGGTAGACAACCGTCCTCCACCCCCTCCACCGCCAGAGCCGGAAGCTTTGGAGAAGGGAAAAGGCCGGGCAACGAATGCCACGAAGGGACCACGGAAGGGATCGGAAGGGACACCACACCGTGGCAAAGGTGGCCTTAAGGGAAAGAAAGGAACGCGTGGGTCCGCTGCGGCAGAAGCCACTGCTCGCAGCTACCAACGATCCATCTACAAAGGGGACGGCAGAGGCGGCCTATACGTTCGGGGGGGCTTTATAGATTCCAGCGGCTGGTTTTACCAGAGCTTGGGATTTGATTCAATGCACCTTTTTGTGTTTATTCATCCCCCATGAAACGTGGAAATCATTGGATTGAAACGCCAAATAACAATTTGCTTGTAGCGGGCAATGGTCAGTTGAAACATGTCGAAACCACGGGGCCAATTCTCAGGGTCCATGGGATCGTCGGAAGGAAGGGCGCACCGCCGGCCAAGGTATGGGCAAGGGCGCAACCGCAGCCGCTCCCGTGGCGAAGGAGCGAACTCCGCGCTGGCCGAGGTTGCCGTAAACCTCTCCGCTGCTATGCGTGATAGGTCCTCAGGACATGAAGGTTGGAGATGATCAGGTACTAGTCAGCGCTAGTCAGTACATTTTGTAGATCCTTCCAGCAACCACCAATCCTTTCACACTACAAGTTCAATCTATTAGAACTTCACCCGTGAATCATCTCCTCGACCGCATGGCAGCTGAATAGATGAATCGAGTGCCACAGGATTGGTTTTGACTATGCCATGATAGATTAATGCATTTTGTTCACAATTAAAGTACGCATGATGCCGTGAAGAAAGGAAGGGATCTTGAATTTCATCCTGTTGGCCCTATGATCCGGGAATAGACCCTGTAGGTGGCAGCGATGCAACCGAGAGTTGTGTAGGGCATTTTCGTACGCCAGGTCCCCCCTCCCATCAAAGCTGTTTGGCGTCGCTGCCGTGCGCTTCGAAACTGCTCATTTCTTTGTTTGGACTCATCACCCCATGAACTCATTTTTCATGATCCGTCAAGACTATGAAGGAGCTAACACAGCACAGGTCTGTCTAATTGTGTCCGCTTCAAGATTCGATGCTAACGGTGATGAGTCACCTTGACCGTTCGTTGTTTGATTTTGGAGGGTGGGCCCAGTTGGTGATCCATGTCAGGTTGTACAGGTTTTGTGGCTCGTTCTTCATAGGTCGTTCAAAGCTTGTGTGTTGCGGTGCAATCTGGTAGATGAAATGTGGGCCAAAAAGACCTCCGCGGTCCTGGAAAGAAGACCATACAAGAGTCTTCTCAACCTTTGGCCAACGATTGCCAGAGACTACCTACCGGATGTGGTCTTCACTCGCTGGTGTTTGCGCGGCGTAGATCGGAGTTCCTCTCAGCATCATTAGCTTTCAGCTTGTAGACCAAGAATAATATATATCTATATTATTTTTTGGGGGTACCAGGTCAAAATAGTATAGATCTATACTATTTTTGTTGATCCCATGCCAAAATAGTATAGATCTATACTATTTTTGTTGATGCCAGATTAAAATAGTATAGATCTATATTATTTTTGTTGATCCCGTGCCAAAATAATATAGATCTATACTATTTTTGTTGATGTCAGATTAAAATAGTATAGATCTATACTATTTTTGTTGATCCCGTGCCAAAATAATATAGATCTATATTATTTTGAATTGGTTAGATTCCCACATAATATAGATCTATATTATTATGATTGGTGTAGAGTATAGACAAATACTTTTTCTTTCAGATCGTGATCGCTAAAGCTGAAGGGAATGGCAATTATTCCGCAATGCATCTGAGTGCTCCCGGCTTAAAGCACACAAGCCGTAGAGAGGTGTGTGCAATCGAGAAAAAGGTCTGGACATGTGTTTCAAGACGCGATCGATGTTCGGCATCTACACTAGGCTTTGTGATGACCACCGACTTTGTGAAGAACTAACGACACACTGGTTGAACCTTTATGAGCATGGCACATGGATCCCATTGTTTCTTTATCTATATAAATCATTCTTTCATGAGTGGCGTTCGAACGCCCTATGTGTACGTGTGGCCAATTCTCCACAGTGTAGTATGTACCTAGGGTTTGGCTTTTTGCTACTGTGAACGAAACCCAGTGGGAATGGGTGACACACTGCCAGTGCTCTTGGTGAAAGCAGTTCGAACTTTTCCAGGACTTGAACCGCTCGTCAGCATGATGTTGACCTCACTAGTTACTAGTTCTTTATCCTTGAGGCGTGGCACTACTAATACTACTATGACCCGTGAGGCTTCAGAGGCTCGCAGGTGAACGAAGTTATTGGGCGCATTACTACTAATACTACCACGACTAGAGAGGCTTCAGAGGCTCACAGTTAATGATGTTCTTGGGGGCAAGGGAGCAACGGCTCGGTGGGGGAAAGCGAGAGTTTGGTTTGAGTGTTTGTGGGACGAAGGTGACGCAACGCGAGACCACTTTTGGTCAACATGTCGACTTGAGACAAGTCAACTTGGATTAGAAAACACACTAAGTGTGTGTGTGCGTGTGTCTACTCTTGAACTTGGAGCTCCTTCCTTTCCTCTTTACACGTCCCAATATATATATATATATATAATATTGATATATAAATAAATATATATATATATATCGTGTTCCTAGCTTTGGCTTAGTTGAGACATTGCGCATTCGTTTGCGCATTCTTTTGCGTTCTTCTGTTACCCCATCATGGCGAAGAGGTCCCGGTCACCCACACCACCCATGGAAAGGGCACCACGGATGTGGGAGCTGGCGTGGGTCGATGAGGATGTAGAGTACATCTGTGGTGCCAAGTGGCGGCTCCCCACTGGAAATAAGTGGAGGAACCTCTATGCGCTCTCAATCCCCAGTGTGATTGCACGAGACCCCATCTACATCAACTGCACTGGTGAAACCGCGAGTTCGCACAAGTACACATGGGTGCGCGACCATCGGTTGGAGGGGTGTCCATGGGACCCAGAGCTCATCGAGTACCGTGAGGCTACTGGACGTTTCAAAAACGTCTTGCTCCGCTCGGTTCCTGTCACCCCGATTGTGATCACGTGGAAAATGATGGTGAATGATGATAGGTCCAAGTGGCTTGCCCAGTGTTGCTTTGCTGCCTCCGGCAATCCGCTCGGAGTTGTGATTGTGCCGGCTGAGCACGAGGGCCGTTTGATGGTGACGGATTTGATCCACATGCTGACTGACAACCTGTCCAAAACAGGTGAGTATTCAAGACTCCAGCAATTTAAGAACTCCTACGGGTTCGGCCCCAACAAGCGAGTGCGGTTCGTAGCTGACTGAGTGTCCTTTAAATCAGGATTGACTTGGTCAAGACTGTGAATGTTTTTGAACAAACCGTTTGCGCAAATGAAAAAGCGGAAGTTAAACACAAACGAAAGACAAACTCGCTGTTGAGCAGGGCTTCGGCTCGCCTGCAGTTGTTCCTTCTGGAAACA